GGCCTGGCAGAAGCTGTGGCCATAGGAGATGCTCCCAGGGGCCTCCTATCTCCAGGCAGATGCTTCAGGTCACTTCTTCCAGGGGGGTCCAGTAGTGACCCCAAGGCCATGACTCTCCTGCAAGGTGGGTGAGGAAGGTGAACAAGGGAGGGCAGAGGAGACGCTAAGGGAGGAGGTGACCACACCTGCCCTGGTCAGACCGCAGGAGCCTCCTGCCTGCCCCGCACACTCTCACCCTCTCCAGTCTCTGCTCCCCACGGCGTCCCAGACCTTCCTCAACATGGACCCTCAGCTGCCTTCTCTGCTCCCCACACCAGGCAGGGAGGGCTCACAGGACCTGTCATCACCTCCACTTTCTCTCCCACCTCGCCTTCCTCCAGCACCAGAGCAACATCAGGAGGAATTATTTTTTAATTTGACTTGTCAATAGAAGGGCTGGCTGGGCAGGGAGAGGGCGCCCATCACTAAGAGGACCCAACCCTCACTCTGGCTGTTTCCAGTGGATGTGACCACACTGAGGCCTCAGCCTCCTCAGCTCGGAGACCCTTCCTCACTGCAGCTGCCACAGCAGGGGGTCCTGGGTGGTCAGAACCCTGGGTCGCCCAATGTGTGGCCTGGGCTGCGCTTCTGAGTCTCACTCCCACAGTCACTAGTTACGCTGGGATCATGGTATCTGACAACTTCCAGGGTGTCGTGGGTTAAACTGAACAATTCATGCAAATGTTCCTCTTATTTTCATTGTTGACTTTTTTCCCTTTTTTTTCTTTTTTGGTTGCATTATGAAAACTCAATTCAACACTTTCTCCTTCTCCCAGGTGTTTTTCTAATTGCACAGCCTTGTTACAGCAACAATCCAAATAAAAAAAACTTTTATACTAAAAAAACTTCCCTCCAATCCCAGCAGCAAATACCATAATGGTGCTTACCTTTCCATGCTCTCCTCCAGCGTGGCCATGCGTACAGGAGATTCATCCTGAACACTAGTGGGGAGAGGCGTGGGGGAAGCAGCCTGGGTTTGACCTGACATCCTCTCCCTGCTGCACATGGAGGGTTATGCTGGGGAGACGGGAGAGCCCCAGAGTGAGAAAGAAACGTCAGTTCGCCCCTCTAACATTACATCTTCCCACAGTTGCTGAGGGAGACCCTGGTGGGTCCGCTAAACTTGAGCAGCCTGTTCAGCCGCCATTTTTGTGACCTGCAGTTCTGCATTCCTGCACAAGGTCAGAGCTGCCCGGTCACTCAGTCATGGGAGCCAGACCTTACAAGGTGCCTTTCAAATCTTTCAAGAGAGAAAGCTTGATCTCCCTGGGAAGGCGATGCATCACGAGGTGTGACAACGGAGCCCAGAAGCTGACCAGTGGACCGCCTTGTTGATAAGATTAGGCCCATGGTCCAGGGTCTGGGGTCTGGTTTCGATTCTAACACTTGGTCATCAAGCTGATAAGAATTATCTGGTCAGCAGACTCATGACCCCCTGAAGCCCAAGATGACGTTCCTTATTTCATCCATCCTTTCCTTCTTGTCCTCCTACCCCACGCAACTGACGCTGTATGATTATTCTAGAAATAAAAACGGCCAGGATCTTCCTCCTCAGCAGCATCCTGCATCATATAGCCTGCTCCACGACGCCCGTTTCTTTATCAGTGTGGTGTTGCCTGATGCAATAAACCCTGATCCAATCAACCCTCCCTTCCTGGACTGCGGACAAAGGCTCAGCTCAGGAACTGGGGTGACCTGGGCTAATCCTGCCCCTGGGCCAGGCCAGCAGGGCACACACTCCTCCCTTCCCTGTGTGACTCCCTCCAGCTCTTGCCTAGTGAGAAAGTAGCTGAAGCTCATGAAACAACCTCAATTTGAGGCCCGTGGGCTTTCTATGGTGACTCCAAAGAAGATGAACGTTGGGGACTGAAGAGGAACATTGGCGACTGGGGAAGGTGGTGTCAGGGGCCTGGAGCAGGGGTCCTGCCTAGCTCCTTTCACCTCAAGCCAACCACGAGATATTTCTAAACCTCAGCCTCTTCTTCAGGTCCAATGCCTTTTCAGTCCTGCTTAGAAACTGCTTCTCCATGGAACAGCATTTACTGAGGTGTTTACACACACACACACACACACACTCCCCTCTCTCCTTGGGAACCAGACCCTCACTCAGGACTGGGGTTACTCTGACCCTTTGTCTCTGAGTCCCCTCAGAGCCGCACTCTCTGCAGTGTCTTTACTCAGCGGGGTCTGAGGAGCCCCAGGAATCCCTGCACCTCCTGCCTCTGACCTTGTGGGAAACCAGCCCCTCAGCCTGCATGACAGTGAGGAGGCGAAGGCAAAGTCCTGAGGTCAGTGAGTGATGGAGGAGACAATTTGCTTATTTCGTTTCTTTTTCCCCTCATTGTATTATTCAGTTGAGGTAACATTGCTTTACATACTGTATGTGTTCAGAGGCCCAGGGTCACCCCTCTTCAGATGTTTGTTACCACATCACACCTACCATAAGGGGACCCACAGTCTTCACCATAGTCCACTGGGCCCTCTTCTTACCTTGTTTCCTGCTCTTACCCCCAGCCCATACCTTCAATTCCACAGTCATATTTCTAGAGTTTGTTTTGGTTTGGTTTCACCTGTGCCTGCTTTGTTTCTTTATATTCCACATATGAATGAAATCATCCAGTATTTAACTTTCTCCTTCAAACTTATTTCACTTAGCATAATCCCATCCATAGCCATCCTTGTTGCAAAGTAAGTATTCTTCTTTTTCATGGCTGAATAGTATTCCATTGTGTATATAGTTTGTATTCTTTATCCCCTCACCTGCCGTTGGGCACTTTGGTTGTCTCCATTGCTTGGTTATGGTAGACAGTGCTGCAGTGACCATAGGAGGTGCATATTCCTCAGAATTAGTGTTTTACCTTCTTTGGATAATTACCAACGAGTGGAATGCTTGACCATGGGACAGGTCCATTTTGAATACTTTGAGGAACCTTCATTTGTTTTCCATAGGGGCAGGACCAATGTGCTATCCATAGAAAAGAGAGGTTCCAGGTTACCGCCCCACCCAAGGAAATGTGGGGCTGAGCAGGGATGAGAAGCTAAGGAAGAGGAGGAAGATGTGGAGTAAGATGAGGAAGAAGACTGGAGGAGGCACATGGAGCAGAGAGACATGTGAAGAAGCCAGGCTTGTTCCTCAGGCTTGGACTTGTGCAAGGGAATTGGGGACACAGAAAGAAACATGTGAAAGAGACAGACTTAGGTGAGAGGCCCATGGAGACGCTGACAATGGCAGCTGTTATCTTGATGTGGATTTTGATTTTGCTCTTGTCCTTCCAGACTTGCCTGGCCCCTCCTGCCCCTGTCCCATGGGTCTCTACCAGTAGGTGCCTTAGCCTTGTGGCAGGCGTTCGGGCCCCAGTGGACCTGCTTTGGGCCAACCCTTTCTCGCTGGGCATTTACCCATGAGGGGAAGGGTAGCTTTGGGTGCTTCACTTGCAAACTATACTAACTATATTCTTTCTCTTCTCTCTATTGCACACTAATTCTCTATTGCACACTAGTTGTATTAAAGTTCTTTTCTATTGAAAGTCTTATGCTTTAGAGTATGTTTTGTCTTTATTCAGATGATGGCAGATCCCATGTAGCGTGTACAGGTTTGAGGGTCCTGGGAAACCCTCATTCTGCCCACTAACAGGACCAGACTTCATTCCCACCCACCATGTACCAGAGAGAGTTCCTTTTCCTCTACACCCTTCAGTGGGTCATTCTCACACGTGTAAGGTAGTAACTCATTGTGGTTTTAATTGGCATTTTCCTGACAGCACATGACAAACATTTATCCTTGTACCTATTGGCCATCTGTATGTCTTCTTTACCAAAGTATCTATTTAGCTCCTCTGCCCTTTTTTTACTGAGTTGTTTTCTTGTTTTGCAGTTCTTTGTAGATCTTGTATAGTAACTCCTTTTTGGATTGATGATGTGCAAATATTTTCTCCAACTTGATATTGTCTTTTCACTTTAATGAGTTTCCCTCACTATATAGAAGCTTTTTTAGCCTCATGTGATTCCATTGGTTTCTTTTTGCTTTTGCTTCCTTGCAGCACAGAAGACATTAGGAACAGTGAAAATAACTTTGCATGATATTCTCACGATGGACACAGGTCATTATACATTTGTTCAACACCCACAGAATGGACAACACCAGAGTGACCCCTGAGAGAAACCATGACTGTGTGACTCTGATATGCAGGTCCATCACTTGTAACCCACGTGCCATTCTGATCTTAACACGTGATTTGGACGTGATGTGTGAAGAGTTTTATAAATTGAGGAATGAAGTGTAATTTATTTTTGAAAGCGTATTTCATGCTCATGCAAAGACATTTAAATAACACTCAAGGATACGCGTAAGTCAGTCATTCCCTTCCATCCCCCAACATCCCAGTCAGCCAGTATCTGCTCAAAACCAATTAGCAATTTATCTTTTCTTTTCTAAAAAAATATCTCCATGCTTCTGTCAGGGCAATAATGCTTGTTTTCCCAACAGTAAAGGAGTTCAGGTCACAGAGTGAGGGAAAACATTTGCATATCACAAAACTGATAAAGGACTGTATCAAGAATTTACAAATAATGCTTAAAACTCAATGATCAGCAAGAAATAACCCAATTTTAATAAGGACAAAAACAGTGTTATAAATATAGAAAAAAAAAAAAAATTGGCTTCCGGGCCTCCCCTGGTGGCGCTGGTGGTTGAGCGCAGTACTGTGAAGCTGTCTGCAGCCTCTGCAGTGCAGGTTTGATCCCGGCTGGCGGGCGAGAATCCCACATGGTGCGGCAGACCTCTTCTGTCTCACCCGCTGCTCCCCTCAGCAGTGTATTTAATCACTCTGCCTGTTCTGTTCCCCACTCTGTCTCTGGTGAATCTTATCACCTCCTGTGCATCTGGCCTGTACCCCAGTTCTTGTATGCATGAATAAATAAATCTTTTTATTAATTATATTTTATTTATTATTATTTATAGATATAGCAACTTATATAGACATAGAAAAATAAAAATATGAACAAATGCTCAATATCACAGTTAAGAACAACAGTGACACCATCACACTGCTGTCCAGGGTGTGCACAACTGGAGCCTCATCAGGTTCACTGTAAAAGATCCTTAGGGGCTGAAAGACACATCAGAGCCCTGGGCACTGTCACTGCCTGTTGAGAACAAAACAGAACCTGGTCAGAGATGAGACCACACTGATGAGGGTGACTCCCCCATGAAGTCCATTAACACTATCCCCCGGGGCTCAGGAATCAAACCCCAGATCCACACTTACCTGCGGCCTCAGTGTAGCTTCCTCCTTGTCCTCCTGTGGGAAGAAACATCACGTGAGACCAGGGAGCAGTCAGGTCAGAAGACCTAAAGGAATCTTTTAATCTTGCAGAACAGGGAAGTTTTCAGAACTGTGAGTAAAGACCCAGGTCAGGACTGGGAAAAATAAGGAAAGGAGATGAGGGGGGACTGGACTAAATGCCCTCTAGGCAAACCACGTGTATGTGGATGGTACTTCCCATTAACCAGGCAAGGCAAGTTCTCCCTGGGACGTGAAAGCCCCCAGTGGACAAGATCCCCCCAGACCCTTCCCTACCTGAGTGCTTCTTCCTCCACATCACAGCTGCAACCACCACAGCTCCAGTGAGCACAGCTCCAAGGAGAACCAGGCCAGCAATGATGCCCACGGTGAGGATGGAGGACAGATGAGGGGGCACTGGTAGGGAAAGGATGATCATACCCTGAGCCCCAGGCCTTATCCTGACCCTCTGAAGGGCTCCAGAAGGCCTCCTGATGGCCCTGAGAATAGCCTCTGTGCCCACATCCCCCTCCTCACCCCATCTCAGGACTTGGGGCTCCAGCAGGCCTTCATGTTGCACGTGGCACGTGTATCTCTGTTCCTCTCCAGAAGGCACCACCAGAGCCGCCCACTTCTGGAAGGTTCCATCTCCCCCAGGCCTGGTCTCTACCACCTCCATCTCCTGGGTCAGGTCCTCCCCATCTCGCTGCCAGGTCAGGGTGATGTCCGCAGGGTAGAAGCCCAGGGCCCAGCACCTCAGGGTGACCTCATACTCAGAGGTGGGGTGGTGGGTCACACGTGTCCTTGGGGGATCTGAGGTGGTAAATCAGAAAACTCACTTTGTGTTTCCTCCATGGACACTGAGGACTCCTGATGAGACCATCCTCACAATGGACAAGACAACTGGTGGGGCAGGAATGACAGGGGTGGAGGATGTCCTGAGCAAACTCCATACAGGCTTTGTGGACTCCACCCCCACGACACTGGGAACTACAAATCCCATGATCACCAAAGGGAAGGTTGGGAGGACCCAAGGGTGGAGTTAAGCAACTGGGCTCTCCGTTTGGGTATTTAACTGGTCATGTGGCCGGGAGCCTCTGGCTTGGCCATGAGGCGTGCTAGGTTTTCGCCACCTCTGTGGGTCACTGGGATTCCAGGTGAGCGTAACCGGTAGGATGCATTTATGAACTTTATCTCCCTCTTTTTCTCCCTGAGTTATTCATTTCCCATTTCCCCTTCCCGTGTAAATAAACCTTTTATCAACCTTTTGTGTGTGTCTGCAATTTAACATTCATAAGTCCCTTTTAAGCGTGCAGGTGAGGACCCACAGTCAGGAAACCCCATTTTATATCAGGGTTTGCCTTGTAACAGCTAGAAGCATAAAATGTAAAAAACAGGCTAATCTGGGGAATCTGTGAGAGTCTCCTATTCCTTAGAAAGTTCTAGAATGAGGATGAAAACCCAGGGTAGGATGAAGCAGAGGGAGTGGAACACAGACTTTTTATTCCTGACCTGGGTGGAAGGTGAATGACACAGAAAAGCAGGAATCACATAACTAAAAATGTTCTCAGGCCAGAAACAAGACAGAGAGAGAAACTCGTGGTTCTCAAACAGGCCCCTGGTCAAAAGGACCCGGTGACCCGTGATGTCAGGGACTGTCTGTCTTTCTCAGGAGAGGCTGGATCCCTTCACTGTCCTTCAGGAGAAGCAGGAGTCTCTGGGAGTCTCTCTAGTGCAGAACATGAAACCCAGGGGAGTCCCCCCTCTGGGGACTAGAGAGAGGACTCATTTCCCGCAGTTACTCCAGGCAGGGGAGAACTGGGAGCCCCCAGGCCCCTCTTACCGGTGCGCTGCAGAGTCTCCTTCCCGTACTCCAGGAATGTGCGCAGCCACCTCAAGCACTTGTCCTCCACAAAGTTCCTGATGTGCTTTGCCTCACCCTGGGCCTCCCACTTGCGCCGGGTGATCTGAGCAGCCGTGTTCGCAGCGGTCCAGGAGCTCAGGTCCTCGTTCAGCGTCAGGTAATCAGCGCTGTCGTAGGCGAACTGTCTGTACCCGTGGAGGAGGCGCCCGTCGGGCCCCACGTCGCAGCCAGACATCATCTGGAAGGTGTGAGAGCCTGTCCCCGCCCCGTCACCCCGCGGTCACCCCGCCCGCACAGACCCCTCCACCGGGAATAAACTAAACAGAATGAAAGGGGGTGAAAGTCCCGTGGGCAGTTTGCAGAGAAGCCTGGAGGGGGAGACCCTGAGCGACCCCCCCACACACCTGTCCGTGGGGATGAGGGTGCTGACCCGGCCCGGACCCGCGCCAGCTCACCGGTCTCGCTCTGGTTGTAGAGGCCGCGCAGGAAGCGCAGTTGCGCTCGGTACCACCTTGTGTTGTACCTTAGGATCCGCGTCTCCTCGTCCAGCACCTCCTGCCGGACATGCTTCAACCACGGGGTCAGAGTCTCTGCCCTCTGGCCTGGGGAGTCGCTGTCGAACCGCCCGAACTGCGTGTCGTCCACGTAGCCCACGGCGATGTAGTGGGGCTCCCCGAGGCCGGGCCGGGACGTCGTGGTGTGGAAAACCCTCACGGAGTGGGGGCCTGGGGGCGGGAGGGGAGACCCGGGCTAGTCTTCTCCCTTTCGGGGGCTCGAGTCCCAGGGGGCGCCCACTAGACAGAAAGTGGGTGAAAGACGAGTGAGACTGAAAAGCGGCTGAGGGACGAAAATGGCCGGGACTCGGGGGCCAGAGGAGGCTGGGGTCTCGGGAGGACGGAAAGGGGCCAGGATAGGGCGGGGTCAAAGTGGGGGGACAACTAGGGCGGCGGCGAGGTCGCGCCTTTCCCACGCCCGCCCACGCCCTCGCTCCCGCCTCTGGTAGCGCCCTGTCCCCTCCCGACCCGCACTCACCCGCCCGGGTCTCCCTCGGGGCCGCGGCCCCCGCGAGCAGGAGCAGGAGGACTGCGCCCCCCATCCCCCAGGACGCGCCTCCATCCGGGCTGGGGAGACGGAGTCCCGGCGGGCGGGCGAGGGCTTTGGAACGGGAGCCGCGGGGCTGCTGATTGGCTGCTCTGGAGACCTCCAGGCAATGGGGAGTGAGTCCTGGGGTGAGTCACCAGTATCCAGGAAGGAGGACCCGACACGGGCTGTGAAAGTGAAACTGGGGAGATGAGGAAGCCCCGACAGTCACCTTCCAGCCCCAGACAGCGCTCTGGGGACTGAGACCTTGAGAGCCACACCCCAAGACCCCTCCTCTCCTGCACCAAGACCTTTGTCACACAGTTGCCTCCCTGAATCCAGGCCCAGGAATTGGGTCAGCGATTCTCAAACATTTTTCTTTCAGGATGTCTCTACAGTCTCACAAATTATTATGGATCCCATGCCGAATTTTTTATGTGGGTTATAACTTTAAATATTTACTAGAATAAAGGCGTTTAAAGATGGTATTGCTTCTTTACTTTAGAGTATTAACCAATGTATGCTAACAAAGCATTTTTTAATTTGTTTAAAAAGATTTATTTATTTATGTATACAATCACTGGGGTACAGGCAAGAGGCGTGGGAGGGTGAGGGAATTCACCAGAGACAGAGCGGGGAGCAGAACAGGCAGACGGGCAGAAACAGACTGCTAAGGGGAGCAGCTGGCGAGGCAGGAGAGGTCTGCCTCACCATGTGGAAATCTCCCTAGCCGGCCGGGAATCGAACCCTCATTACAGAGATTGTGCACAGGCATACAGCTCTGCATTCAACCCATGGCGCCACAGAGGAAGCCCTAACAAAGCATTTTTAAAAAAGATTTATTTATGCATACAAGAGCTGGGGTGCAGGCCAGAGATGCTTGGGTTGAGAGGATTCACCAGAGATGGAGTGGGGAGCAGATCAGGCAGATGTATTGAAACACATTGCTGCGGGGAGCAGCGGGAGAGACAGGAGAGGTCTGTTGCACCATGTGGGTAGCTCCCTGGCTGTGGATTGAACTCTTGCTGCAGTGGCTGCAGGTAGCTTCATAGTTTGCTTCCTAACCCCTTGCACCACCAGGGAGGCCCTAACAAAGCATTTTTAAGAAAATAACTTTCTGTAAATATAAGGATAATTTAAAGAGGGGAACTTTTACATTTTATATTTTTGCAAGTGTCATTTTTGTCTCATTAGAAGATCTTTTAATTTTCATAGTTTCTTCTGCATTTAATGTTTTGTTTGAAATCTGTGAAAAAATATACAATCTCATGGAAATATGTAGGAATTGTATTTTAATAACCTTTTCAGATTATGAATATTCAACTTTTTTACAACTTTCATACTAAATTATAACTATATAAGTAATATTTTCTCAAAGGTTATTTGCAAAGTGAAGCCTGAAACAATGTCATTGAATATTTCCTATTCTGTTCTATTAACTCCATAGGCCTGTCTTGTATATTAATCATACAATTGTATGATTTTTTAAAAATGTTAACTATTGTTTCACTATGTGTTATATAGATATACAGTGTTAATTACACTGGAATAAGTTATCAAACATCATATGTTTTACTTTTTACCACAGATCCCAAAAGAAAAATTAGTCCATACTGTAAGTTGTCAAGTTTATAGTGCTAGGACTTAATTTTCCATAATTCTGGTTTTCTCTTGGAGTTTACATTTTATCAAGGCAACAAATGCCATCAGTTGATTTCTAAAAGGGACAGACTCACATTCATTTTCAGAAGTTGTCTGCCAATTCAACTAGTCTAAGTAACCATGTTTTTAGCCATTCTTTCCTTCAATTAAAAATGATATTGCCTAAAAGAAGAGGTGAATTCACTTCATACATTTTCCCCCCTGGGACATAGCACTTCGGACTGTAGCAGACTTGCCTTATATGCACTTCTTGTCATTGTTTCAGGCCTTTAAAAAAATGTGGATTTCAGGATGATAAATAGAAAATATGCTTTCATGATTTAACCAGGACATTTTGAAGTAAAACTGGTCTGGATTTTTTATTCTGGAAGAAGGTGGTGGTGAAAAATAACTACTACTGCAGTTTGTACTATAATTTCCATTCTTACTAAGTTTTTTTTTTTTAAGATTTATTTATTTATTTATACAAGAATCGGGGTACAGGCCAGATGCATGGGAGGGTGAGAGGATTCACCAGAGACAGAGCTGGGAACAGAACAGGCAGACTAATGAAATACAGTACTGAGGGGAGCAGTGGGTGCGCCAGGAGAGGCCTGCCGCACCATGTGGGACCATCCCCGGCTGGCCGGGATCAAACCGGTGCTGCAGAGGCTGCGGACATTTCACAGCGTGGCGCTCAACCGCCTGTGCTACGGGGGGTGGGGGGGGGGCTTCATTCTTACTAAGTTTTATCTTAGCATATGTCAAAATAGTGAAAGGCAAATGGTATCTAAGTAATGTTATAAAAGTAGTTTTGATCTCCTGGATCCCATGAAAGGTTCTGGGTGACCTCAAGGGTTCCACAGACCAACTTTGGAAATGCCTTTCTCAGTGCACCAGGGAGAGTCTCCCAAGTATCCTCTGCCTTTCTCTTATTCAGCTCCCAGAATCCATCTCCTTGGTTTGGATTTCCAATTTCCCAAGTTTTTCTTAGAGCTTTGCCCCTGGAATCCCTGGAAGAGCACTCATTCCTCAGAGATGATGAGAGCGTGCTCAATCTGAGAAGGGAGGTGGAGAGACAGGTGCTTCCCTTTGGAACTGGGACAATTAGTGTCTGGAGGCACCAGACCTACTGATAATGTTTTTGATTTTGTTTTACACCTGTTTAATATATATTTCCATCCAGTGACCTCACCTAATCTTTAAGAGAGATAATATTGGCATCTTGATTTTACATGTGTTTAAGGCATCCGACTTGATGCTCCCAAAACATGAAGAGCTGTGCTGTCCAACAATGTTCTAGAAGAAAAAAATGTTCTATATATGTACTGACCAATATGGTGCCTCTAACTATTGAACACTTGAAATGTGGCTCATGAGCTGAGATGTTGCATATTTTACTATATATCATTTAAAATTAAAAAGCCGTATGTGGCTAATAGCTGCCATGTTGACAGTATATCTCTAGAATGTTGTTAACTTTCAGTATCTGCCCCCCCAGTGCTTGGTTGTATAATAAAAAGTAATAAAATATAATGTATAATAAAATTACTTTCATGTGGAAATCATGGATTTTTCTACACGGGTTTTAGGTATGTCCTTAAAATATGGCATGTCCAAATAGTTTAATTAACATGTATTTTAACAACAGATGGGGAGGTGCGATCCCAAATCTGAATACAAACATTGTCAAATCCCTGAATGACCTCTAAACTGTGCTGAGGTGTGGAACACTCAAGAGAAACTGCTGGAAAACCAGAAAGAACCTAGAGGGCATTCTACCCTTGAGTGGCAGGCTCATCCTGGTGCAATCTGTGAGTCTGCACCCAAGACTTATTACTTCCCCAATCCACACAAGCTCAGAGAACCAGAAGAAAAATCCTACTGAATTGAGGAATCAAACATCAGATTTGGTGCCTGCATTTGGGTATTTGGGTACACCAGGAACAAGGTAACCAACAAGTGAGTGAAAGTCAACATCTGGGTAGACGCTGTCCAAAACCTAGTTTGACCATTGAATCACATGGAGACAAGTCAAACCATTCAAGACCCAGCAGGGGCAGATTTGGCCTCGTTCTGACAAATGTCCAACTTCACTGGAGAAGAAAAGGAATCCCCAGAAAAATAAAAGAGTCCAGATGTGTTAAATCTTATATCTTTCATGTATTTAGAATTAAACCTGCTTTCTCCATGGTGCTTGTTTGAATAAAGCCTGACCACTCTATATAGGTATCAGCATAATTTTCTTTCTTTGACAAAAGGATATAAATATTTAGTAGCCAGATGATGGACAGTAGAAGTTTTTCAAATGTCCACAGTTTTTTTTTTTTTTTTTATGTACTCAAGAGGTCAAGACCAGTGCCCCTCCTGTGAGGCACTGGACTTGCCGACCCCTGCTCATGGAGGAGGCTGGGGTAACCTGTGTCCATTCACAGTGAGTCTCAAAAGGCCCTGCAATCTCCTGCTTGATCTCTCCTGCTCACTCTCTAGGGGAAGACATTTGCTGCACTGGGTGGGCACTCAGATAAGGCAACACTCACCTGGTGAGGAACTGAAGCTTTTTTCGAGTAGCCACGTGCATGTAGATCCTTCCACTTGCTAGATCTCCATTTGTGGAGCCTTTATGTAGATCCTTCCAGGTCCATCAAGCCTGACATCATGATTGCAACCTCATGAGAAATGCTGGCCTGGGGTACAGGCCAGAGGTGTGGGAGTTGAGAGGATTCACCAGAGACAGAGTAGATTGACTGAACAGGCAGATTGACAGAAATACACTGCTTAGGGGTGCAGTGGGCAAGTCAAGAGAGGTCTGCTGTGCCATGTGGGTAGCTCTCTGGCTGGGGATCAAACTTTTACTGAGGAGGCTGTGGAGAGCTTCATAGGTTGTATCTTAACCCCTTGCACCACTAGGGAGGCCCATAAATAAATAAATCATAAACAACAACAAAAGAAGTCTTGGAAAAAGAAGTTATGAGTGTGGAAGCCCTGGGTTTGGGTCCTAGTTCTGTGTCATGCTAAATATGGGAATGTTTCCACTGTCACCTGTAAAATAAGACTAATAGAGTCTAGATTGTCTGCCTCACACAGCTGATAAAAGGATGAAGCTTAAATTTACAGTACCGTATAAGTGAACTATATATTGCTTACAAGAGCTGAAGTTTCACTATAAAGAAACATTGAAGGTAAATTGATGGCAAAAAGATAAACTATGAAGATAGAAATCATAAGGAGATTGGAGTGGTTCTATTAAAATCAGCCATAAAATTTGGTGATTTTTTTCTGATGACTAGGTGGCACCAGAGATCTTTCCTAGTATCCTTCCAGGCTGTGCTTTTTCCTGTGGTCTCCAGAGAACTGAGTGGGGGTGGGGGGGAATGGCTCAACGACGTGGGGTGCTGTGTCTG